ATAGTTGAATTGCTCAAAACCAGGGATAAAGGGAAATAATCCAAGTTAGAATACAGCAAAGCAACAACTTTAACATACTGAAAAAAGAAATGCCACCTACAATTCAACACCCAGCAATAATTGTTTTCAATAGATAAGGTGAAATACTTTTCCAAACACATGAAAGCAGAAAGAATTCATCACTAGCAAAACCATACTACAAAAAATGTTAAAGAAGTCCTGAGCAGAAAGAAAATGATACCAGATGAAAACATGGATCTATAAGGAGGAATGAAGAGCAGGAGAAATGATATTTACATTAGTTTAAGATGTGAGTAAAATGCACATAAAGATAGAATATATTTTTCTTATTTAAATCTCTAAAAGATAATGGACCTTTTGCTCATGACGATGTAGTATGCTGTAATATATCTAAAAATAAAAATTTGACAATCATAGCACAAAGGTCAGGACAGAAGAAATGGGAAGTATACTATATATTATAAGGCTCTTACACTGTATGTGAATAGATTTAATGTCACTTGAAAATACAGCTTAAAAGATGTAATTACAAACCTTGAAGCAACCACTAAAATAGAAAAAGTTATAGCCAATAAGCCAACAAAAGACAGAAATGGAATCCTATAATATGTTTGAATAAGCCAAAAGAAATTAGGAGAAAAAAGAAAACAAAAAACCGATGACTCAAACAGAATGTAAGTATCAAGATAATAAATTTAAATCTATCATCTTGAGCCTGGATAGCTCAGTCTTTTAGGCATCTGACTGCTGTTTTAGGCTCAGGTCATGATCTCAGGGTCGTAAAATCAAGTCCCACCTCATGCTCCACAGTGTGGAGCCTGCTTGAGATTCTTTTCCCTTCCTTCTCCCTCCAGCTCTGCTCCTCCTGCTGTGTGCACTCTTTCTCACTCTAAAATAAAATCTTACAAAACAAGTAAAAAAAAACAACCCTCTAACTACATCATTAATTACATTAAATGTGAATGACCTAAATTTCCAAATGAAGGCAGAAATTCTCAGACTGAATTAAAAAAGTTAGACCGACTATAGGATGCCCACTTTAAATGTAAAGATACAAATAGGTTAAAAGTAAAAGAATGTAAATATTCCATGCTAACACTAATTTAAATAAATAAATAAATAAATAAATAAATAAATAAAGCTGGAACAAAGATATCAATGTCATATTTTGGTGCATAGAACACTGTCTTGAATAAAGCAGGTCATTTTATAATAATAAGTGAGATCAATTCATCAAGAAGGTATTTTAATCCTACATGTTTATATACTTAAAAACTAGATTTCAAATTACATGAAGCAAAAACTTCTGCAAAAAGAAATAACAAAGACTAATCCATAATTACAGGCTGAAATGTTAATACCTCTCTCTCAATAACTGACAAAACAAGTAGACAACCAAATTGGAAAATATTGAGGATGTGAACCAAGTTGGCCTGACAACAGAACATTTCACCCAAAAACAACAGAATGTACATTCTTTTCAAGTACATATGGAACACTTATCAAGACAGATGAGGTATGTATTCCAGGTCTATTCTGGATCACAGAACAAGTCTCATTAAATTTGGAAGGATTTGAGACATATAAAGTATGTTCTCTGACCACTATGGAATTAAATTAGAAATCAGTAACAGAAAATCTCCAAATTATTTTAACAAACTTACAACCTACATTTAAAAATCAGGAGAAATTAGAAAGTATTTTGAATGTTAAAGCAGTACTTAGGAGAAAATTTATAGAACTAAAAGCCTATAAAAGAAAAAAAAAAGACCTCAGCTTTCACATCTAGAAGAAATAAGGGATGAAACCAAAGAGAAAACAGTAACAGATAAAATTCAGTTAAACCAAAAGCTTGAGAAGATTCTCCCTATTTTCTCCACAAAATTTACTCTACCCACAGAATTAACTGTCGGTTAATGATGACTTGCTTTTTTTCTAATTGCTAAAATGAACTGCGAAATCTTGGGATTCAACCTTGAAGTTTGTTTTATTCTACTTCCAGTCTAATCAAGAATGTTACTGGATCCATCTTCAAAATATTTCCAGAATCCAAACATTTGTAACTACTTCCTCTTCTGTCACCCAGCTGCAAACCTCTATGATTGCTCCCTTGGGACTACTGCCACATCCTCCTAACTGGTCTGCCTCTTTTTGCCCCTGCTCACTTCTATCCATCCTTAGTCTTTTTTTGAACAAGAGTAGCCAGAGGATCTTTTTACATATGTAAGTCATTATAATGTCACTCTTCTGATCAAACCCCTCCCTCTAAATGGCTCCCCATTTCACTTAGAATAAAAGTCAAAATCCACAGAATGGCATATTAGGGCTGTTAGGTCCCCCTACTCATATTTTCCTACTCTTTCCTGGTCCCAGCAACAAAGACTTTTATGGCTATTCCTCAAACATACCAAACAAATGTGTTCCTGTTTCAAGTTCTTTGCATTCAACTCTTTTGCCTGAAGAGCAGATATTTCTCCAGATATCCATATAGCCAGCTTCTTTACTTTCTCCCTATCTTTGAATGTGGGCTTCATAAATATCCTTTTTTAAAATTATAACTTCTCACTTGCCACCACTAGCTCTCTGTATCCCCCCATTCACACTTTTTCTCCTTAGAACTTACCATCCTCTTTTATTCTTTTTGTGTGTGCTGCTGTCAGCTCCCTCCAATCCCATTAAAATATATATTTCATGAGGACACAGACAGGTGGTCTGTTTCACTAACCACCATATTTTCAGACCATGGGGACAGGGGTCTCCTGGCACACAGGAGACATTTAATAGCTGTGAAGTGAATGATCTTACACTTGTCTGCTACATTTCAGGCCACCTGGAGCCTTATTAGCTCTTTCTGAAGTTTATCTTGATTACTGCAGTGTTTTATTATCTCTCATGAATTTACAGTCATTTCTTAAACTTGGGTATTTCACTACTGGCTTCCCCAAATCACTTAATCTCTTTAGTTAGAAAAAATACTTGCAGCAGATAAATTTTGTTTCCTCGTTCTACCTCAATTCATGGTAAAATGTTCTTTCTGCTGCTGTGACATTTTAATAATATGTGGAGTTTTCCACTCCAAGGTTTAGCAGTTTGTAGACTCGTTAACTATTAAGCTTAATTTTAATATGAATAAAGCACAATAATTACTTCAGTCTGGTACAGCCAAATATAAAACAAGTATAACATATAAAATTTGTTTTAAAAATGTCATCCCATATAATAAAATTTCCGCCATGGTAACAGCCCAAAGTTTGCTATGTATAGTACTTAAAAATCATAAGCAATGTGAGATGCTATTTTAAAATAATAAAGTTAAGTAGGCCTTCCCTGAGGATCTGGAATACCAGCTCTGGTTCAACTCTGACTTAGAACTCTGAAACAATCCTTTGGAACAAAACATTTGTCCCAGCAATTTCAGAAAGACATATTATGAGTCAATACATAAAAAGGAGATACTAGTTTGCTAATAAGAAATCACTATACAAAGTGTAAAAGCAAGAGTTACTTCTCAGTAGTTTCTTCTTGATTTCAAATTCAAAGTAAACGGTAGAGAGTTTATTGAAACTCAGTTTCTTACTATTTTCTTATGTTTTGAAACAGCTATGGTCAAATGGCTTAAGGATGTATTAAATTCAAAATATATTTATATTTACTGTTTGATGTAACATCTTCGGTGAAAAATGGCCCATGAATCAAAGCTTTAATGTTCATTTGTAGTCATTTAATGTGGTTGGTATTTCTAAAAGGATTTAAAACATACAACTCACAAGTATTAATATTTAATGGTTTCACTCTTCACATGTTCCTTCGCTCCACAAGTATAAGGTTTATATGATATGCTACAAAAACACTTTTCACCAATTTTAAGTTAAATAAAAAAAAAACAGTTATGCTTTAATAACAATTTTAAGGTGTTAGTACATTTACTTTATCTAAGCATCAAGTCCAGATAACTGAGACTACATATTCTATGCTACAGTAATAAAGTCCATCTAAGCTGCCAATACACATTTAACACATTCTTCAATACTGAAATCCATATAAATGTAGTAACTGAAAAAATGAAAACAGAAGAAAAGCATTCAGTATAATATGGAATATTTGTATTTTAATAAAATTTAGTCCTTTACTACAGAGCTTTTTGCCTTGCATGAACAGAAATGTTTTATGCTTCTTCAATCAATCTTGTCCCTTCTCTTTGCTAGTGGTTCTTTACCCTACTGTAGGGAGGACAAAGTCATGTCCTTGTCCGGTTCTTTAGGATCCTATTTTTATTTATTTATTTTTTTAACATTTTTAAGTAATCTCTACAACCAACATGGGGCTAGAACTAACAACTCCAAAATCAAGAGTTGCATGCTCTACTGACTGCGCCAGCCAGATGCCCCTAAAATCCTATTTTTAAACAAAAGAACCTGAAATACACACTAACTGCATAATTAACCTAAGCAGGGAGTGCAGGTCTCAGATTTAGGATACAGGAAAATCTGAATTAAATAGGCAATAGAGATAGAACTCATAAAACAGAGTAAAGGTATGAATGGAAAAAAAGGTAGGGATAAGTTCTTACACCCCTCTGAGGATATCGATCTGTGCCATGACCATCCAAACAACAACAACAACAACAACAAAATCCCTGGTCTGGGCTAACATTAAACATCCCCTGTCCTCTCCCTGTTACATTCTCCTATACCAAAATTATATATGTAATACCACTTCAGGGAAATCTCTACTGAAAGTAAATGGGGCGGGAAGGGGGGAAGAAGGCTGAGTCTATCAACTTTTCTAGGATTACTTTTAGGAATAGACAAACTGACCAAAAATATGTATGTATTATTTTTAAACATGTATTTCAGTTTGGGAGGGCAAAGAGACTTCTAGTACGCCTCCACTACAAATTTTTACATCTCAAGAAATGTTAATTTACACCAGAAAAGATTTTTGAATAAATTTAATAAATGCACAAAATCATACAAGGATATCATATCCAAATCTCAGCTTATCTTCAAGTTTCAAGGTGATATAAGTCTGTTCTGGAATCCTTACATCATTCACAAAAGTCTACAAAGAGAGAAAAAGATGTTAAGTTGTATATGGAATATTAATTATTACCTTTTACACAAACAAATACTCAAACCATATTATACTTAAAAGTACATTAGATATGGTGGCTAACACAGCTTGTGTATCATAAAATGTGTGCCATGCATCTTATAAGCTGATAAATGATTTCATACCAAGCCTTTTATTAATTACTGTAACACACAAAGAACAAGATTGCAGTGCCTCTAAGTCTACCATGCTGCCAAGACAAATTCAGGCACCCAAAAATGATGCTAAGAAAAGCTCCTAATTTGAAGCTAGCAAATTGTAAAGGGTAAAGTACTAAACTCTTGATAGATCATCAGGATTCACTGGACTCAATTTTAGTTTTTTTTTGGACAATTCTAACTATTTGTGAGGCTTGATAATAATTTTATTTCTTTAATTCTTAGAATTATTCCAAAGAACAAAAAGTTTACTTTAAAAAATGGAATAAAACTCATATTTTTTATTTTACAATTGCCATGAGTCCTTTCGACCCTTTTATAACTCTAATACTATGGGATTTTACTTACCTTACTTTTCCCTTTTTCTTAAAACACTGGTATTTCATCATCCCCTCATCATTTTGTCACTAATCATCAGTGATTTCTAACTGTGCCAAATATGACCAAAATAGTAAGAAAACAGAATAATGGAATTACCTAAAACCCTACTATCCAACAGAAATATACTGCAAACCCCAAATGCAAACCACACATATAATCTTAAGTTTTCTTTTTTTTTTTTTTTTAAAGATTTTATTTATTTATTCATGAGAGACCCAGAGAAAGAGGCAGACTCAGACAGAGGGAGAAGCAGGCTCCACGCAGGGAGCCCGATATGGGACTCGATCCCAGGACCCTGGGATCACACCCTGAGCCGAAGGCAGACCCTCAACCGCTGAGCCACCCAGGTGTCCCAATCTTAAGTTTTCTAGTAGGCACAATAAAACAGAAAATAGAAAAGATGAAATTAATTTTAATACTATATTTTAACCTAACCCATATATCCAAAATAGTACTATTTCAACAAATAATCAATATAAAAAGCAATAAGATATTTCATGGTTTTTTAAAAAAAATTTTAAAGATTTTATTTATTCATGAGACACAGAGAGAGAGACAGGCAGAGACATAGGCAGAGGGAGAAGCAGGCTCCATGCAGGAAGCCTGACGTGGGACTCGATCCCGGGTCTCCAGGATCAGGCCCTGGGCTGAAGGTGGCACTAAACCACTGAGCCACCAGTGCCACCCTTTTTTTTTTTGTTTTGACTAGCCACTTTCGAGTGCTTTCAAGGGCTAGTGGCTACTGTAGTGGGAAGCCCAGGACTAGAAGGACAATGTAGTAAACCACTTCTGCTGCTTCGACCTTCACTTTATTTCCTGTGTTGCCCACAAAACTGTCTCATCTCTCCAAGAAAATGTGATATACATCTGGCAACACAGTCTTTGTCCTTTTCTAAGTTACTAAAGAGCACTACTGAGGATTCAGAATTTCTCACTTAACAATCCATAAAGGCAAAGAGAAGAAACAGGATGGTATTTCACAATTATAAGATGAACACAAAGACAGCAGAGCTCTAGACTATATTAATAGTGATAAAACTGATAAAAATGTAGCAGAATATCAGACCATGAGTCTTCAGATAAAGCTAATCTTAGATGAATTTTGTCTAATGTAAGAAGTAGTAAAAGAAGATTGTTTTCAAGGAGAAAAAGGAAATAGGGTATTTTTCATTTAGTTAGCCTTTCACTAAGAAGAATCATGCAATTATTTCTCAATAAGAAATTGAATTATTCTGTATTTTAAATTTTCACAGCATTCTTTTGTCTTTGATGTTTATTTTTCAATACTTATTTAAGTTTCTAAGTGGACAAATGCCCAAGGCAGATATCTACACAAAGGTAACTAGAAGGAAAGATGATATCAAAAGAAATAAACTTACTAATAATCTTCTGTTAATAAGTGTAAAACTAAAAAATGTTTTACAGTTATGGAAGATAGCTATCATCTTAATAAAATTTTAAGCTGTCAAAGTCTTTAAAATAATGCATTTTGACAATACAATGTAAGAAGAACCAGAAATAATAAGCTAGAACATCTATTATGTACTTGAAATCTGAAACAAACATTTATAAAATGGATATATATCCCAGGTATCCCTGGACAACCGATGAACATACCCATTTTATATATTATGTACTTTTCAAAAAAAATAATAAATGAAAATGTGAGTTTGTCAGGATTAATTTTTTTATTAAAATTTCTATTGTTTTTCATTATCCTTTTATCCTTACTTCTGCAAACTATTTGTAAAAAGACTTACAGAGTCGACTAGACACAGATGGTAAACGGTGATGATTATTTTTCCTGGCACACTAGAAGTTAAAGACTTGGAATTTGCTAGATTCATAGAACACAGAATACTGTTATACTTAATTGCCCAGAATGAAAATATCATGAATATCCAGGTTTTCTTCTGATCAGCTGAAACTTTAAAAATTACTTTTTCCTTTTGAGTTCCATTTTTTAAATCTCAAATTTTATTGGATTTGAGATGGCCAGGATACCCTGGTTTGGGAAAGCTCCCTCCATCATGAGGAAGTTTAGAAGGGTCTTGAATGACACATAGTAAAATATATAAGGAAATTATGTTGTTATGGTCAAATACTCAAATTCCTATGCATAACAGGCACTTTGTAATATATCATGGAATATCAGTTTGTAAATCTACAGAAAAAATTAGAAGTTGTTATGATCATAATTCCAAGCATAGATATATGGAGACAACAGAATACTGCTAAAACTTGGCATCACACCTTAGTACAATTTATGAGTAATCCTAAAACACAAGCTTCCAACATTCCTGACAGAAAGGCAGAAGTGTTAATACAAGGAAAATTCAAAGGCTTCAGGCATGTATAAACTTCATAGTCCTGGGATCCCTGGGTGGCGCAGCGGTTTGGCGCCTGCCTTTGGCCCAGGGCGCGATCCTGGAGACCCAGGATCGAGTCCCACATCGGGCTCCCAGTGCATGGAGCCTGCTTCTCCCTCTGCCTGTGTCTCTGCCTCTCTCTCTCTCTGTGTGACTATCATAAATAAAAAATAAATTAATTAATTAATTTAAAAAAAAACTTCATAGTCCTTTTCAAAATGAACATTTGAGTGTTTTAAAAGTTACACCTTGCACTGAGGGGGACACTTGACGGGATGAGCACTGGGTGTTATTCTGTATGTTGGTAAATTGAACACCAATAAAAATTAATTTATTAAAAAAAATAAAAAAATAAAAGTTACACCTTCAGTTTACCAAAATATTCTAAGTATTATTACAAAACAGAAGAATACGGCAGCCCCGGTGGCGCAGCGGTTTGGCGCCTCCTGCAGCCTGGGGTGTGATCCTGGAGACCCGGGATCGAGTCCCACATCGGGCTTCCTGCACGGAGCCTGCTTCTCCCTCTGCCTATGTCTCTGCCTTTCTCTCTCTCTCTCTGAGTAAATAAATAAATCTTAAAAAAAAAAAAAAAAAAAAAAAAAAAACCAGAAGAATTGAGGAAAATTATGGAAAAGAGAAGAATAAAAGAAAATGTTAATTCACTGATGTTTGGTATGCAGAAGACAAGCAATGTGGTACACTGTGTCAGAGGTATGCCACAGTTCTAAGTCAATTTCACTTAAAACTGTCTCAACCTAAATATCATTCTTACTCAAAAGGCCTAAAATAACCAATCAGATCCACATAAAGCTTAATACTGCTCAACTTTCTTAATTAATTAAGCACCTACTGTGTGTTTATCATATATATTAGGTAGGTATTTGCAAAACTCAAGAAACATATAATTTTAACATACTGGCACTTCAGGCAGAAATACTCCCTAAGGTTTAAAAAGGCTTAGGAAATATGAATCAGATACAAAGTTTCAACTCACAGAAATACAAGTGAAAATATCTGAAGGGAAAAAACTCTCCTGAAGTTCTAAAATAATAAGAGAAAATTTCAAAGAGCAACAGGCCAAAAAAAAAAAAAAAAGACAAATCATTTAAATGAATCAATTATAGGGGTGCCTGGGTGGCTCAGTCAGTTGAGTGTCTGCCTTTGGCTCAGGTCATGATCCCAGAGTTCCAGAACTGAGCCCCCCATCAGGCTCCCTGCTCAGTGAAGAGCTGGCTTCTCCCTCTGCCCTTCACCTTGCTTGTGCTCTTTCTCTCTCCCTGAAATAAATCTAAAAAAAATCAATTACGAAGCATTTTAATAAATTAAATATGGGGAAATATAGGTTTTGTTTCTATGTCAACATTGTTTCATCACATCTCTGCCTTGCAGGTAGAATAGGTACCGAGAAAGTAACAAACAAGATTTCAGAGTTCAGAAGTAGAACTGCTGGGATTCAAATTCAGGTCTCTCTAGCTACAAATCTCATGTTCTCTCCATCTGAAGGAAGCCTGGGTGCCCAAGCCAGGCCAGCTCTTCCAATTCCCTCTTCTGAACCACTAAGTCACAGAAGTGAAACAAACTAAATAAACATCTATTTAATTTACATACAACTGCAGAATTGATTTATAAAACCATATAACCACTGTGTATTATATTAATGCTCTAAGTAATCTGAACACAGTGAGTGGCCAGGAGCACAGCCTCCTCAATCACACTGCCAGTGACAAAAGTCATCTCATTTTCCCTAGACCTTCTCTGATCTATGCCACACTGATCTGATGCTGACAGAAACTCCAGTGTGAAAATGGGGTAGAACAGAAAGCTGGAACACAGTGAGCTAAGGGGCCAGCTTAGTAACAAAAGCCAGAGGTGGAATGGGATAGGAGTGATATGGCAGAGGCTCTCAGAGGGGCAAGTGCTCCAGTAGAGGAAGGAGGGAGGAAGAAGTGACAGCAAACAAGGGATTTCATAAAAAGAGAAGCTTCAAGGGGCTTGCAGGGAAATGGGCCATGATAAGATCAACTACAAAACTAGTTCCAACTTCCTCGAGCAGAGCAGTCTCATCTCTGGTAGCAATAACATCAAGTAGAGATCTAGGGCCCTTGGGAGCATATTTTAGGATGGGATAAAAGGGAGGAGTGAAAGTGATCACAGCCAGAGTTATTTATAAGTTGGGTTTAGCTGGTAAGTGCTTTAAAAAAAACATATAGCAGTGGATTCATCAAAAAGTATATAGGCCACAGGGTACTAAATTTAAGTGCGTTTCTTAACATACCACCACCACCACTTATTGAATGCTATGTGTCATTTTAATCATTTACAATTATGAACTCATTATAGCTTCACAACAACCTGAGAGGAGTATCATTTTGCTATGAACACTGAAAAAAATTGAGGCACAGAAAAATTAAGTACCTGTCTATGGTTATATCACCAGTAAAAATTCAAGCTAGGCTCATAACCACCACATTGTGTCCCCTTACTTCCTAAAATTACTACTTTTAGGGATGCTTGGGTGGCTCAGCGGTTGGATCTGTCTTTGGTCCAGGGCGTAATCCTGGAGTCCCAGGATGGAGTCCTGCATCGGGCTCCCTGCATGGAGCCTGCTTCTCTGTCTGCCTATGTCTCTGCCACTCTCTGTCTTTCTCTGTGTCTCTCATGAATAAATAAATAAAATCTTTAAAAAATAAAATAAAATTACTACTTTTAACTTGATGCTCAAATTTCTAGAATTATATGAATATTAAGAGTAAACAGGTTGTGAGTAATAGTCTACTTATGAATAAAGTGCATTACGGTCGGTAGTTCACAATTTTGTCCTGGCATATTTCCTAGGCCATCATTTAGGTAACAGCACAGCTATCTGTCATTCATGTGAAGATTTCAAGCTCCATACCAGGCACAGACCTACATGTACGGTCACATGTTATCCTCATAACACTACAGAGCAGGAAATGTCATTTCATTATTTTAAATCTAAAGCAAGGTAACTGAATTTTTCAGTCTTCAAATTAACAAGCTTATTACATTTTACCACAACTCTGGGAACTAATGTGAAGATGTATGAGAAAACTACATTGCAGAGAGTACATGATTTTCCCTGGTTACACCACTGGTACATTACAGACAGAAATTCAAATCATGGTCCCGATTTTGAGTTCAGATTGCAAATGTTGCTCTCTAGGAGTAATTATCTTCCATAGAACTACTGAATATAATCAAATTAAGAGAGAGGTGAACCCAGAGAAACTTGGAAGTTGGTATTTCACCTGATTTTTTAATAACACCAAGTAACTTTTATATCTGATCACAAATCTTTTAAAAGAATAAAACACTGTGATGTAATTTGTACTTATTATCCAAGATAATAACATAAAAACACCTACAAACAGCACTGTAGTGGAGATGAAAATTTCTAGGCTTAACACCAGAATGTAACATTTTAGTTAAAATAGTCCACATATGCAAATAGATTAAATTTTCCTCTATGAATTCTTACATAGAGAAAATAAAATTAAATTCCATTCAATAAAGATTTACTGTAAAAAAAAAAAGATTTACTGTGTTCATGCATCATACAGAGCTCTAAGCAAAGGCTCATGAGCTGTTCTGGATCCAGTATAGTGACAGGTAAGTAAAAGTAGATCTAATACAAGGCTGACAAAGCATCCCAAAATACGATTAAAACAGAAGTTTACAGGTGCGGAGAAGGAAGAAAGTAATTCTGTAAATTAGAAGCTGGGAATCAAAATAGCTTACTTACTGGTCTCATGTTAAAAATGGTTTTATACTTTTATAAATGACAAGGCAGATGGGAGAAGCACTAGGCTCAAGAAAATCTAACAAATTATTTTGAGAAGGAGACAGATAACAGGAGAATCACTACTGGGGATGTACAGAAAGGGAAAGTGTGATGGAGCAGGAATCTGGAAAAGTTTGGTATTAATACCTGAAGTATTAATTCTGCGTGCCATGAGAAACAAATAAAGGCTTGAAAAAAACTAACAGAAAAACAAAGTGTTTCAAAGATTAAATATCAGTCTTTCAGTAGCAGGCCAATTCAGAAGAAGAAAAAATGTTTCACAGTAATTGCCAAATTTCTGCATAGGTTTTTCCATATAATGTTTAATGTATACTTTGAAAAGCAATAGCAGTAAGAAGCATTTGCATCCATTTAGTTTCTGTTAAATTCATTTTAACAATTTCAACAGTTCAGATATGGGAAAATGCTGCATTTGCTTATGTTAGCAGGGCCATTAAGAAAATTGAAGAAATAAGAAATTATTCAATACTCTGGCATTCTCTTATTCTGTGGCTCCTTATATTCTGACAATGTGGAAAGACCAAATGAAGAATTAGGGAAAAAACCTCACTGCAGTAACACAAAAAAGCAGTAACGAAAAATCACATGCTATATTTTTAAGGTAAATGAATGTGTTTCACGTCTTTTTTACTCTAGTATAGAAACTCCTCCACCATCTGGCATCAAACCATGTTTTCACCTTTATTTTCTAAGTTTCTGTATATTTATCTCCCAAGAGTGCTTTTACTCATATTAACGGCCATGACTTTCTACTGTTTTTCCACATATAAATTCAAGCATCCAGTGAGGTCAACTTTCATCTCATCTCCTTAAAGGAAAAAAAAATTTTTTTAACCATTACAGGTAATAACAACCAATAACCATCTGTATTCCTGTATTTATTGTTAGTTTCTGGGGAACAAGGGCTAGTTTCATATTCTTCTGTATGGTCCCCAAAGTACTATGTACCTACTAAGTCTTTAAAAGTAAAATGCAAACTAAAGAAAAGGAACAGAGCACAAACAGGAAATGTAGCTGGATCTATCTTCTTACAATATTAAGAAAATATTGCAATAAGACAAAAAAGAAAATCTTTTACTTACCCCATTTAGGCTGCCCAAATCTTTCACCAAATGTTCATCCATAGAGGCATCATAATTGATTACAGCATGTTGCTTGTCTACACTACGAGACTGAAAGGAATTTTTCTGAGTTAGTATATATAAGAAAATACTAGAAAAAATAACAAATACAATGTTTTTGGCTAGATACTTTATATTAATAGGATAGTAGATAAATATAGAGAAATATCAAAATAAAGTGGATTAAATGAGATTTAAACTGTATTACTATACAACGCAAATTTGGCATCATTCCCCAAAGAAAAAAGCAGCCAAAATTTGAAGACGTTCTTTTCAACTAAATTTATATGTCCTTTTTAAAGAATTAAATCAGGTGACTTTGCTGAATGTATCAAATGACAATTTTTTAAAATAAGACTGTAACATGGAAGTCATGCGAATTATAATTTCATAATGTTTTATGTGTCTTACTGTATAAAAAGAACTAACCCTACAGGATTTTCTTCTTTCTATATTGAAAATTACAATGTAAATTATACAAGGAATCCAAAGATTTAGAGAAAAGGAATAATGATGTGATACATCCTTGAACAAAATTATCCTCACTTAAAATATGGGTTCTAACACTGGAATTCATAGAAGGCACTGGGGTGGGGGGGGGGGCTCAGGCGGTGAAGCATTTGCCTTCAGTTCAGGTCATGACCCCAGGATCCTGGGATTGAGCATCAGGCTCATGCTCAGTGGGGAGCCTGCTTCCCCTTCCCCTGCTTGTACTCTCTCTCTCAGGCAAATATATAAATAAAATCTTAAAAACAACAACAACAACAACAACTAGAATTCATGGGAGAGCGCTAAGAGGGAGAGAGAGAGAAAGTTTAAGAAAAGGAAATTAAAATGGCAAAGTGATTACTGAAAATTGTTCTTCAGTCTCTCTTAAAAGTCCACACACTCATGTGTGCACACAGCTCCAGAGCTTAGTAGCTGTCTGCAGATAAAAGCACCTGAGAGGTAAACTATACAAAAGCCTGTGGAAACTTTTATTGAAAGAAACCATTGGTACGGTAACAGGAAGAAACAGTCTGAGAACCACAGTGAAGCTGAATTCAGTACCATGGGGCCACTACAGGAACCTGGGTAAATGAAAAGCAAAGTATCCCAAATGGGGAGAGATATCACTTCCAGTTTCCAATCTAACATGTAAAGAGCTTAGAAGTCATCAGTCCCGACTCTCTGCTCCTCCACGTTCAACAGACAGCCGCATCTTCTGGTGCAGCGCCAGCCGCGTCCCCGAGACATGATGGTGAGGTCAGAGTGAACAGATTTGGCCGTATTGGGTGCCTGGTCACCAGGGCTGCTTTTAACTCTGGCAAAGTGGATATTGTCGCCATCAATGACCCCTTCATCGATCTCAACTACATGGTGTACACGTTCCAGTATGATTCTACCCATGGCAAATTCCACGGCACGGTCAAGGCTGAGAATGGGAAACTTGTCATCAACGGGAGGTCCATCTCCATCCTCCAGGAGTGAGATCCCGTCAACATCAAATGGGGTGATGTTGGTGCTGAGTATGTTGTGGAGTCCACTGGGGTCTTTACCACCATGGAGTAGGCTGGGGCTCACTTGAAAGGTGGGGCCAAAAGGGTCATTATCTCTGCTCCTTCTGCTGATGCCCCCATGTTTGTGATGGGCGTGAAGCATGAGAAGTATGACAACTCCCTCAAGATTGTCAGCAATGCCTCCTACACCACCAACTGCTTGGCTCCTCTAGCCACCAAAGTCATCCATGACCACTTCAGCATCGTGGAGGGCCTCATGACCACCGTCCATGCCATCACTGCCACCCAGAAGACCATGGACGGCCCCTCTGGGAAGCTGTGGCGTGACGGCCGAGGGGCTGCACAGAACAACATCCCTGCTTCCACTGGCGCCGCCAAGGCTGTGGGCAAGGTCATCCCTGAGCTGAACGGGAAGCTCACTGGCATGGCCTTCCGTGTCCCCACCCCCAACGTGTCAGTTGTGGATCTGACCTGCCACCTGGAGAATGCTGCCAAATATGACATCAAGAAGGTAGTGAAGCAGGCATCGGAGGGCCCCCTCAAGGGCATCCTGGGCTACACTGAGGACCAGGTTGTCTCCTGTGACTTCAACAGTGACACCCACTCTTCCACCTTCGACGCCGGGGCTGGCATTGCCCTCAATGACCACTTCGTCAAGCTCATTTCCTGGTATGACAATGAATTCGGCTACAGCAACTGGGTAGTGGACCTCATGGTCCACATGGCCTCCAAGGAGTAAGAGCCTCCTGGACCACCAGCCCCAGCAAGAACAAGAGGAAGAGAGAGGCCCTCAGCTGCTGGGGAGTTCCTGCCCCAACTTAATCCCCCAACACACTGAGAATCTCCTGACCTCCAATTTACATCCTAGACCCCGAGGAAGGGGAGGGGCTTGGGGAGCCCTACCTTGTCATGTACCATCAATAAAGTATACTGTACCCAGTCAAAAAAATAAAAATAAAAAAGTCATCAGTCCCATCCTGACAACAAGAAAAAAGATGCATAAATGGAAAATCAAAAACCAGTCTTAGTTTTATCAGAGAATTGAGGTCTAGTCTACCCTGAAAAATGGAGAGAGGTGAATACAGAGGATCCCAGCTTCCTGAGAACAGAAACCATGGCTGCAGCCAGCAAGGCAGGAAAACTCAAGGGTAAGGTAACTGTGAGACATGAATATCAACTAGCTTGCAAGATAAAGTTCCTAGGGGCACAGCCGTGGGGGATATTCCTCTTTGAGGAGTTTTCTGAGTTTTACCTCCAGAAGCCCCACCAGGATGTCAGGGTGAAGACTGGAGAAGTCTTCTGGTGTCCCCTCAGCCTGGAAGTAGAAGTAGCCAATCTGAAATACACCCAGAGCATTCTGCTGTCGCAGACACAGACAGACAATGACCTGTCTTCAAAGAAGACTATTTTACCAGTGTTCCACCATCAGGGTTTTACCAGAGCCTAACTGACATGGGGGAATGGGAATACTGAGCTCCAGTGTCCTCAAGTGTCCTCTAGCCTTCCTGTCTCACCTAAAGAGGGGGACAAAGAAGAGCTAAGATGCACTTGTGAAGTCCCACCAAAAGACTGAGAACTAATCACAGCATTATAGAATGACTCTTCTCCCTCCAAATCTTACCACCACACCCACAAGAGATATTACAATGGGAAAAACTGCTAAATTCTGATTATTGAATAAAGGGTCTTTAAAGAAACTCCAAAATCAACTGGAGAGACGAAAACAGGGACACTATAGGAAATATTAGCCCTGATACTTTTACTACAGCCAAGAGTGAACACGGCCTGACTCCTAGATACAGCAACAAAATGAGAAGGTCAGCAACTAGTAAAACAACAATACAGAGTATATCCTAGTTGAAATCAACCTTTCCAAATAACTATCACTAAAGTGAAAAGTTCCTTCCTCAGTTAGCTTCGATTCCATATTGAAAAAGTTTTGTTCTTTCCTTCTAACATTTGGAAGAAACAGTATATGACTTCAAACAATTTTTCAACAAAACTTAAACATTTATCATACATACACTCTTGTTCTTTTTGAAAGTTTTAAAAGTTGTTTTTTGTTTTAGTTTTCTCTGAAACCTCAATTTCTCTAGGAAAAATTACAAGCCTCAGACTTAAGAACAAGTTTCTGTATTGTAGGATTACTGCTACTCCTCTACAGCTTACCTGTCAAATTACAACAATTAGCACTACGAAACATCTGCATTAAATCTGTAAGTTACTTAAACTTCATTCTGGTTTTTATTTTTGCGTTTTAAATTGCTGCTCTGTTTAAATTAATGAAGTATGAAATTCAGTTATTCAGGTGACAAAAAGCACATGTAGCAACTTTTAGGAAAATAACTCCTCCTTGTTGTGGATTTATCAAGTTGCATTAGTCTGCGGAATAAAAATCTCTGCATGCTGTAAGACACGTGTGATTGCAGATATATGTAGGCACTTAATAAACACGAATGAATGGTCATAAATAATCTCTTTGTGACAAAGGAAACAGAAAGAGTTCAAGTCCTTAGAATGGCAAACTGAAATTCAAGGGGAAAAGCTGAGAACACAAAAATCACACAGAAAAGGGAGTTACTGTAAGCTTTGGAAAATAAGCCAAGTGGGCTCCTTCTGGAGTCAGGGAACCAGAGCTTTTGAGGGAAGAAGGTGGTAAAGAAAAGGAAAAAAATGGTCTAAGGAGGAAACAATTAGGAGAGGACACTTAAACTTGCTAGAAACCAGAAAATCCTGAACCTGATATACACTTTGCCCTCAAATTGTTTGGGGATAGGTAAGTACAAGAATGCCTCCCATGGAATGTAGAGCAAACGTTAAGACACCAGAAGACAATATAGTCTGAGTTGAGATGCCTTTCCAACTAGGGACTGGGGAATGAACTGAGGATGTTATGTGGGGTCAGAAAAAGCATCTTGTTTAAGATTTATTTATTTGAGAGAGAGCACACATCACGTGTGGGTGGGCAAGCGGCAGAGAGAATCTTCAAGTAGACTTCATGCTGAGCATAGAGCCTGATATGGGGCTTGATCTCAGGGTTAACCAACTGAGCCCCCCAGGAGCCCCTGATGTTTTTTTTTTTTTAATAAATAAACCTTATTTATTTATTCATGAGAGACAAAAAGAGAGAGAGAGAGAGAGAGAGAGAGAGAGAGAGAGAGAGAGGCAGAGACACAGGCAGAGGGACAAACAGGCTCCATGAAGGGAGCCCAATGTGGGACTCGATCCCGGGTCTCCAGGACCACACCTCGGGTTGAAGGCGGTACTAAACTGTTGGGCCACTGGGGCTGCCCACAATCTACTATTTTCAAGGTGGCAGGCAGTGTTTCAGCATTCATCAAAGAAATTTAGCAGAAAACCAAGATTGTAGAGCATAATATATCTAGTGAGTGCTCAAGAAAAAATGAAGTTATGAATAAGGAAAGTTCCCTACTTACATCTAACCATATAAGCATTAATTAATGCATTTTCATTTCCAGATAATCAAATCCACATTTTCTCTAGATTACACAAGCCAGGAGAAGGTGTACTACACCTTAATTTTCACAACCC